TTTAAAAAAAAAGTGATAGAGTCACATGATTTAAATAATCACATGTCATGTATTTTCTCTCCAGAGTTGTGTTTGTCAGTTGGCGTCACGAGTCTCTCTGACAAGAAACGTCTGAAGCCAAGCAACTCGATAGACAACCAACTGAAGGAGACTCTGCCTGGCACATCCTCCAGACCACAGACCATCTCTGAACTGGATCGCCAGCTGGCCTCTCCAGATGATCCAACAGGAGACGAAGAACAATGTGAGAACGACAAGCAGTTGGTGTCTCACCTTTGCAGAGTGTGTGGGAAGTCCTTTGACAGGAAAGGCTTTCTGATGAAGCACGTGGAGAAGCACTTGAAAGAGGCCGACTGTCTGTGTGGTCTGTGTGGTGAGCGTTTTGAGTCCAGTGATGGCCTAATGCTGCATCTCCAGATGCACCGTGACAGCACCAAGACATGCGATGTCTGCGGCAAGAAGTTTCCCTCAATCCGAGCTCAGGAGATGCACATGAGGATGCACACTGGAGAGAAACCTTTTAGCTGCGTTGTCTGCGGGAAAGGCTTCAATCAGAAGGGCAACATGGTAACCCACATGAGAATCCACACGGCAGAGAAGCCATTCACCTGCAACATCTGCCACAAAGAGTTCAGTCAAGGCAGCTCGCTTGAACGACACATGAAAGCTCACGACGGACAGACACCACTCAGCTGCAGCTTTTGCGGAAAAGAATTTGCAAAGAGTGCTGAGCTGAGGCGACATATCCGGTGCCATGGATCAGATGAGCAAACGACCATCAGTAGCCGGCACAGAAAACCCAGCCTGACCCCTTCTCACTGCTGCAAGGTCTGCAGCAATGAGTTTCACAACAAAGGAAACTTTGTGAGGCATGCAGAGACACATCTAAACCACCCTGATTGTCTCTGTGGCATCTGTGGAGAGCGTGCAGAGTCCTCTGAGAGTTTGCAGCTGCACATCCAGAGTCACAGAGAAACAAGCCGGATCTGCGACATTTGTGGCATAAGCTTCAGAGACATGGAGATCCACATGAGGACACACACGGGCCAGAAACCATTCAGGTGCAAAGACTGCGGGAAGGACTTCCCCAGAAAGGGATCGCTGGAAAGGCACATGAAGCTGCATGCTGGTGAGCGGCCGTTCATCTGCGAGTTCTGTGGGAAGACTTTCATAGAAAACACAGTCCTAAAGAGGCACATCAAGAGCCACATGGGAGGGAAACCACGAATATACTCCTGTGAGGTCTGCGGCAAGAAGTTCACCATGAGCCAACACCTGGATGTTCACAAGAGGATCCACACTGGGGAGAAGCCATACACCTGTAGGGTGTGCGGGAAGAACTTCAGGCAGATCGGAAACCTGGACTCTCACATGAGGATCCACACGGGTGAGAAGCCATTTATCTGTAGCCTCTGTGGGAAGAGGTTTCGCCAGAAAATCTCACTGGAGACACACGAGAGGTTCCACAAGAAGGAGAAACCCTACAGCTGCCAGCTCTGCAATAAGGGCTTCGTACAGAAGATCGACCTGAAGAGACACATGCTAACGCACACAGGGGAAAAACCCTACAGCTGCCAGGAGTGTGGGAAGAGGTACCAGGAGAAACGCTCAGTGGAGTCACACATGAAGGTCCACAGGGGAGAGCAGCCTGTCAAAGACTGTCAAAGACAGGAAGTTCAGCCTGACTTCATCCAGCTGTGAGCTGCAGACACAGCTCCTGTTAAGTCCTCAGTTTGAGAAGCTGTTGCTTCATGAACATGTTGAAGTATATTTATGTTCCCATATCTTCAGAGATGATATAGACAGAGTGTCAGCTGGACAGAATTGAAATTACCATAAAGATCTGAGCTTCCTGCCAGACAGTGTGGCTGCTTTTATGCAGAAATATTTGAGTTTTTTTTAAATTAAAACTACAACAGTCAAGATTCCAGTCTATCACTTTTAAATCAGCTGAATGAAATGTGTAAAACTCAGGACAAGGAAGCTTCACAAGAGACAGCCCGCCTAAAAGAAGTATCCTTCAGGGGGCGGCACTTTCTGATAGTCTAGGAACAGCAAGGGTGGAGGCTCAAAACCTTTGAGCTAAAACTTTGAAACATGCATTAAGAAATTAGTTAACAATCGGTAATTTTTTACAAATGACGTATTCTGGGAGCTCCACAGATAGAAATAGTTTCTAGTTTTCAGTGTTTTTAACAACTGAGTTTTTCTCATATTATTTCTTGGTGTTTATGGAGCAACATATTAAACATATAAGGATGCTGGTAAACAGGTTGATTGTCCACAGCTACAAATCTTAAAAATGAAATAAAAAAAGTCTATTTTGGATTTTAGGTTGTGTTTAAGTTTCAAGTGAATACAGTACATAAATTAGGGCTGCCACGATTAGTCGACTAGTCATGATTACGTTGACTATCAAAATTGTCGATGACTAATTTAATAGTCGACGCATCGTTTGAAGCTTTGTAAGATCCCAAAAGACGCGGGAATAAGTAGTAGGATTTAAGAGTGTAATAACGGACTGAAACAGAAGATGGCAGCACTGCATGTACAAGGATGCCAGCTGCCGTTAAACCCCGAAGAAGAAGAAGCAGTGTCCAGTATCCTAGCTGTGTCCAAATTCAGGAACCGCATCCTCCTGTGCCCACTTTTGTAGGCCGATTACGTTACAGCAACATGACGAAGACTGTCCAAATTTGAAGACTCCGACAAATGCGCCCTTCGTTTCCCCAGTTTTGAAGGATGGGTCGGGTGTATACTTCGTGGCCCAACCTATCCCAGAATTCATAGCGCGGCCCTGCTCAGTTTCCAACAATGGCGGCAGCTAGTTAGTTTTAATATTACTCTTATTATTCTTTCTGGGTCACAAAATAAATGTTTAACATATTTTCAGGCGAGAATGTAGCCGTGTAAACTTCAAATATCTGCTCAGTTTATCAGGACACCACATATTTTCAAAAGAGCTCCGAGGTTTTCGGAGACGTCTGTTACCCACCAACTCGATAGCTAGCTGGGGTTCAAGGCTCACTAGAGCCGGTGGGGAAATCGTTTTCAAACCCACCGCTGTCTTTCGCTACTCAGGTTAAACATGATACATAGTCATTTAGATAACTTAAAAATGTTATTGTTTGGCTTTTTTCAGTGTTTTATTTGTTCCTGAGTAAATCGGTTTGGCTGAGATTAAAGTTATAGTTTTTACACAGCTGAATAAACGTCAAGCAGACAGCTGATTATCAGAAGTGTGAGACGCTCGAGAATATACTCCGGTGTCCTGTTATATTTTAGATAGCAAGGAGCAGACAGCTGAGTTTATCAAACTCCACCGAAACAATCAGCAAATGTCATTAAAATTTAATAAACTATCATCTTGTCTTTATTTTTAGTTAGCACATACCTTAAACACTTAAAGCTGTAAGCTAATGATAGTTATATAAGAGCAGATGCTGCTGGTGCAATCAGCTGTACGTTTTACGTCCAGTGGATGATGATCTGATTAGTCGACTAATCGCAAAAATAATCGGTGACTAGTCGACTATCAAAATAATTGTTGTGGCAGCCCTAACACGATTATTACAAGTATGTATTCATGTACTGTTGTGACCTTTTTATTCATACAAATATTTCCTACCATTAATTTGAATCTGCTTCTGTAACTATTTATTTTTAGATTTTTACAGGAATTATTCCATTGGTGGAGTGAATATAATCGAAGGTTGTGGGAAATATGTGCATGTTCGTGAACATAATCAGCAGATTGTGTTATTTTGCAGTGAACTGTAGCTAGCTGAGCTGAGCAGCTTCAGAGTGTGTTGTGAAGTCCAGAGGTTTGAACAGGCAGGCAGGCATTGGGCAAACTCGCTGCTATTTATAAAATGTTTGTAGCCCAGTGACTGGATTCATACCTGACCAGGTGTCCCTTTCTACATCCCACACATTCAGCCAGTGTTTCACATTTTGATTTTCCTGCATTTTCATTTTTTTTGTATCTCACAGGTTTGGACATGGCAATGCTTTCCTCATGCTAACTTAGAGGCTAGAATGTCTTGTAAGTCGCTACAAAGAATTGGTATGAATATGATGGAAACTACCCAAAAGAAAGAAGAAACTGAACCAACAACACAAGCTGACAAACTGCTTCTCCCTAGGATGAAGCCAGTGGGAGGCACTGAGTCTTGTGATTTTATTTATTTATTTTTTGTGCTATTTTGCAGTTTCATACAAGGATGCATTAGCATCATAATGAGCTTGAAAGAGTCATATCAGTCCATGGATGTACCCCCTGAAGCCCCACCTTGGGGAGAGTGGAGTGGGAATCTGACAGGTGGATTGGAGAAAGGTCTGCAGGGATGTGGTGTAGACAGAAGTGAGTTTTATCCTCAGATATGACTACGTGGGTTGAGGATACCAGCAGCAGGAATGAAATAAAATGAAATTTCTGTCTGTAATTTAAATAGCTTGGTCACTTTAAGGCCAAATGGAAGCTTATACAGCAAGCAACTGACAAGATCAGCAGTTTTATACAGGATAAAGATACGTTCCCATGCTCAGTCACCATAAACGCACAGTAAGTTATTAGAAACTGCTAGTCCATGACCGGGTCCTCACTTCACCTGCTGCTTGTCGTGTAGAGATGTTCAGGAAATTTGGAGCTACTGTGTGTGTCACCAGTGTCTTTATGAATAATTATCCTTTCATTTGATTAAGATCCTGCTTTTTTTTTATGGGGTACTTGTCTTATTTATAGGGATTGTCATGTCTCACCAGAGAAGGAAACAGGTGATTCATCAAAAGACTTGCTGCAGGACTAGAAAAAAGAGAAAAGAAAACTAAAAATAACAAGAATTGATATTACTGACAAACTTTATTAACAACCTGACTGCATCCAATGAGCTCTAGCTAACAGCGGCACCTGTGTCAGGTAAGTCCAAGGTGAGTGACAAACAGCAGCTCAGTGATGACCTAGTCCTCTAACAGTAAACCAGGAGGACAGAATCTTGCTCCATCTGGCTGCTGCTCATAACGGAGCCAACAAGGCAGCTGCTGGACCACATGAGGACTATGAATTACTGTGGACTCAATCTGAACCAGATTCCTATTTCTTTAAACTTTATTAATAAAGTTGGAATTATTCAACAAACAAAATGACAATCAGTATAAAGTCAAAGTATATAATCCAAGTATAATTTTTCAAAATTTATTATTAAGCAGTTTAAATTTCAGGTAACTAACTGTGCCATGCCTCTTCCTCTGGTCCATATGCCAAAACAGACAAAGCGCTCCGAACCCAAGCAGAACACACTTTTATTAGGAGACACAGAAAGAGAATATTCATATCACTGGTTGAGAGTTTGGGTGAAGACTGCAGTTTAAACTTGGTCCCCCTGGTGTGGGTCCATCCCTTAGGTCATCTTGCACTTTGTGCAGCGAGCTTCTCCCTGTGATAGGAAGAAAACTCTCCCCACTTCACCATGGCAACTGTCTCTTGTTCTCTGGTCAGGCCTGTAGAGAGCAAGAAGAAGAGGAGAGGGAGAGCTCTGCCAGAATTTATATCTTATAGTTTCTGTGCTTTGCTGTGCCATACAGAACAGCATCCTATCACAACCCACACACAATCCGTGGGGCGGTGTCTTCTATTTGTTTGTGTCTGTTAGTATCAGAGTGTACCAGTCTACTTTCAATGCTCTATTCTACAATACCTAAACGTGTGATTAAAATTATGAGGTAGTTTAAAAATAAATAAATTCTACCACATGTGATGCTCCTCAGCCTCACCTGCTCATCATTGAATGCGCAACCTTTTTCTCTCGGCTTTCTGATCAGTTGATCTGCTGACTCACAGGCGGTTTACTTCTGGCTAAAAATGTCCCGCACAACCAGAAAGTAGCAAGGAGACGCCGGCGCACGCTCACAACTCTCCTCTGACTCCGACAGCCTCCGCTTCAGCAGGGGCGCTGTTCGCTTATGCTCTCTCCGCACCGCGCTCCTCGACGCGGAACTCGCAGCGTGTTTACCTTTCCACTGGCTCTCTTTGTTCCGGAGGCTCCCGGTGGGGAGAAGCCGCAGAATGTGCGCCGTGCAGCTGCTGCGGGTGTCGGTCCACGAGCGGATCAGCGCCGCCGCCGAAGACTTCCTGCTGCGGCTGGAGAAGGGAGAAGAAGCAGCCGAGCTCCCGGCGCTGAGAGCGCTGCTGACCGAGCGGCTGACGGCGGCCGCGGAGGAGATCGTCGCACTGCTGGAGGAGACCGTGGCGGAGTACCAGGACAGAGTGGAGCGCTCAGAGCGGGAGATCTGCCGCCAGAGGAGGCTGCTCGATGCCGTGCTCAAGCCCGAAGTCCGGCTGCAAGCGGCAGGTCAGTGTCCGGAAACAGCCGAGCGCAGCCGAACCGAGCTCGCGTTCTCGGCTGATGTCCGCGCGCAAGAGTTGAGATTGCGTGCATCCCAGCAGATACAAAGTAAAATTATTGATGAGAAAAAGAAATGATCACTTTTTCTCTCGATCTTATTTTTTTCTCATGTTTAGCAAAAGTTTGGTAAATTTAAGAAAAATGAATCCAAATGTGTCTCTGTGACTCTATGATGAGTATTTTGTCACACTTTAGTGTTGTGCTCTAATGACAATCAGCAAATGTGAGATTTTCCAGTTTTCAGAGAGTAGTCACTGTGAATCAGACTCTGACAAGATATGAAATATAAAACATTCACTCCTGTCTTATAGTTGTTTTCCAGAACTGCCGTCTTTGATTGATGTTTTCTGGTAAAGTCTAATCTGACCTTCCTGGTCTCGAGTGTAACCACTGGTTTGCACCTTGTTGTAAATCCTCTAGAGCCACCTAATGTGACTCTACATCCAACCACATGAACGATAAAGATAAATTGTGATACTTCTTATTGTTACTGGCCCAAGAACATACCTAACTTTGCCATGAAAACGCTTGTCCATTTAATTTTGAGCTTCTGACAATGGCTGTAATTCGGTTAGTCCACAGATAATGCACCAGGTCAGGTAAAATCCTGAACACAAGCAGAAGGTTTACACTTTTATTCACATCTTCACTAATTTAACATCCACTTTGGTCGTACACAGAGGTGAAACTGTGTCAGAGTGCCACAAATCACAGACCTGACTGTACATCACTCAAACTGCAACAGACAGCGTCTCTTGTCTTTCTGAGCTGTTATTAGCAATAAACTGATCGAGCATGGAATGTTTTTAGTTCATAATGTTTTCATTTCAGGAGAAAAAAAGGAGGCAAGATAAAATGAGATAAGATCAGAGAGCCTTTATTATTCCCAGAGTTGGAAAATTAACATACAGAGTAGACAGAACAGGGATAAATAGATGCACCAAATGTTAAACCCAGCAACATTTAATTATCTATAATTCTGGTCCAGTCGTGTGTACAGTCAACACTTATTTTGTCACACTCCAACTGTGACATCAGCAAAGCCCTATGTTTATACTGGCTCTTTGCAATTTTTTTCTTCAACTTCCTTCAGAAGGTGGTGCCAGTTTAGCTCAGTTGGATGAGCAGGCGACCTTATGCCGCATGGCTGAGTGTGGCCGGCCCGGGTTTGAGTCCGACCTGCGGCACTTTGCCGCATGTCTTTCCCTTCGCTTTTATGTCAGTTTTCACTGTGCACCTATCTAATAAAGCCAAAAAAATATATTAAAAATTTTTTCTTCAGAAGCAGTGCTGACTTTTGGTGCACACCTCTGTTCATGAGCATAAACTAGGCACTTCCACAGAGTGTCTAGCTAGTTAGATAATCTTCTCTGTGATGGACCACATCTGGTGATAGTTCCATTAGACCAGTCTGCAGCAGGCAAGGACCTGGTTCATAAGCTGCTGCACTGAGCACTGACCAGAACAACACGAAGGAAAGACTCTGAGAAAGGCAGCTGATTATTAATCCAATTTCACATATGCCACAAATTACATATTTAGTTATTTGCCCCAGAAAGGTCGAAGTCCTCACTGGCTGTGCTCACATCTTTTCTCTTTCTTGTTTTATCTTCAACGTCATGCTGCTCTGTTGTATCGTAATTGCCCCCTGGGGATAAATAAAGTCTTTCTGATTCTGATTTCTCCTCACACCCAGCTGTTCATGGCAGATGTCCGCCCCTCCCTGAGCCCCTGATTTCCTCTTTAACAGTGTAGGATCTTTACCTTTTGTAAAATAAAGCACTCTGAGTCAACTTTATGTGATTTGGCACCACATTGTAAAGTTAAATAATCACACAGATCAAATATATTCTCATTCTGTTCCCTCTGCTCTCTTACTTTCTCCAAAACAGAGATAGGTTTAAGTGTACAGGGTTAAGAAAGTGTGCTTCTGGCTCTTGGCATCCCAATTAGTCATGTGCCTATGATGGTGTCACAAATTGACCCCGAGCTGCTTCTTCTGCATAACAATCTGTAATCTGTAGTGGACATTATAACATATATGATGGTACAACATATTTCTGCTAGGATTGAAAGAGAACTGAGATCACATTTTGTGTCTGTTTCAGTGTTTCCTTCAGATGTTCAGCAGCCGTTGGGGAGCAAAGATGAAGTTTCCCGTGAACACCAGGAGAAGAGCTCCAGCCTGGACCCGGGGGAAGACCCAGTGCCCCCACAGATTAAAGAGGAAGAGGAAGAAGCCTGGGCCAGTCAGACAGGAGAACAGCTTCAGGACCTGCAGGTAGCTGAAATCACCACGTTCACATTCAGCCCTGTGCACGTGAAGAGTGAAGATGATGAGGAGAAGCCTGAGTCCTCACAACTTCATCACTGCTGGACTGAGGAGAGCAGAGGCTCGGAGGGAGGACCAGAAGCAGACAGGAACTCAGATCCAGATCCACTGTTACAGCCTGTTAGTGAAGACAACTCTCTGGACTCGACTGAAACTGATGACAGTGACTGTGACTGGACACAAACAAAGGAAGCCCAGTCAGGTAGAGATGTTAAAAATCCTGACAGTGATGTTGGCACTGTAGTCAAGGAGAGACCATTTCCCTGCTCATATTGTGGGAAAAGATTTAGCCTTAAGGGAAATTTGAACAGACACATAAGAGACCACACAGGAGAGAGACCATTTCCCTGCACAGACTGTGATAAGTCATTTAAAGACAGTGGCTCCTTAACGGCACACATGCGATGTCACACTGGGGAGCAACCATACAGCTGCTTGTTCTGTGGGAAAAATTTCAGTGGGAGGGGAAACATGACCAGACACATGAGGATCCACACAGGAGAGAAACCGTTCACCTGCTCAGTGTGCAATAAAAGTTTTCATGTTAAAGAACATCTCAACAGACACATGAAGTACCATACAGGGGAGAAACCTTTCAGCTGCTCTGTCTGTGGGAAAGGCTGTGCTCAGAAAACAGACTTAAAGAAGCACATGAGAGTTCACACAGGAGAGAAACCCTTCAGCTGTCCTTTCTGTGGAAAGTGCTGCGCAGAAAAAGGAGACCTAACCAAACACATGAGAGTCCACACAGGAGAGAAACCATTCAGCTGTAATATCTGTGGGAAAAGCTGTGCCCAAAAGGGGAGCCTGAAGATCCACATGAGGATTCACACAGGAGAAAAACCATTCAGCTGCTCTGTTTGTGAGAAACGTTTCACTGTTACGGGACATCTAAAGAGACACATGAAGCTGCACACAGCAGAGAGTCATCCGCCTGGGTCTGCAGAGTCACATTCAGGCAAAAGTAGAAAATGATGAGTCAGCAAACACATTGTGACGCACAATGGCCTTCTCAGACTGATCAGCTGTTGCTGGAGATGGAACTGATAAAATATACAATCATTTACAATGAAGAGGATACAATGAGCAATGAATGTTTTTTTGTTCTACAACCAAATCAAAACAGGCTTATAAAAAGTGGCGAGTTTTGATAGGAGTGTAACAGTTTGTCTTTTTACCAGGAGCTGTGAATGCATCTCTTACAAAGCTTGATGTCCTATTTATTAAAAAGTGCAGGTGGAAATATGTTTCACATGAATCTGACAGGTGTGAACAAAAAAGTACATCCTCATATCCACTTTTTTCCAGATGCAGTGTTCCTTTTAATAAAGCGCCAGGAAGGACATTTATGTGGATCATATAAATGTATTCACCGGCAAACTCTCACATTCAGCTTTAAATGTTCAAGAAAAAGGTCTGCATGCACAAGTGTTACTGCAGGACTTGTAGTGTGTGCAACAATCAGATTTATTATTGTCGGGTCAAAGCGCCTTTGGTTGACTGTTGTTGTGAACTTGCGATTATTTAATTAAAATTAAACTCAACAAATCTGCTGCTGTCCAAATGAATGTTGCGATATTGTTTGAAATTGAGGCTTTGATCAATCTGGTTTAATTTTTCTTTTTCTTTTTTAATATACCGTATTTTCACGACCATAAGACGCACTGTGCTAAAAGGCGCAGTCTCAGTTATGTGTGCCCTTACTGTATTTAACACACACATAAGGCGCACTGGACCATAGGGCGCATAAAAGTACCGTATGCGTATTTAAAAATAAAGCGGGAGCAAACCTGAATTCGGTACCTTACTCACATTTTTATTACCAATAATCGTCATCAACAACACACAAGCATACAAGTGTGCGTATTTAAAAATAAAGCAGGAGCAAAACAAAGTTTGGTACTCACATTTTTATCATCAATCAAACCCAGCGAAGTCCTCATCCTCTGTGTCTGAATTGAACAGCTGCGCTAAATCTCCATCAAACATTCCAGGTTCACTGTCTTCACAGTCAGAGTCACTTTCCGTGCCGTGCGGCTCCTCGGAAATGATGCCGGCTTTTGCGAAAGCTCGAACAACAGTGCCAGCAGACATGTTAGCCCAAGCATCTACAATCCATTGGCAAATTGTGGCGTAACTCGCCCGGCGCTGGCTTCCACTCTTAGTGAAACTGTGGTCTCCACCGGTCATCCATCGCTCCCACGCTGCTCGCAGCCTTACTTTGAACGGGCGGTTCACACCGATGTCCAGCGGTTGGAGTTCCTTTGTCAGGCCTCCCGGAATGACAGCAAGCTCACAGTTC